CCCAACACCTAAGACCCTAAACCCATGACCCTATAAGCTGGGAGCCTAAGACTCCTCATTGGCATTTTGGGTTCCTGGCAGGCTGGCCCGAGGTGGCCAGGATGAGAATCGCTCCTGGGTCCTCAGTGATCCGCAGGCCCCACATGTTTGGGTTTAGGATTTAGGGTTTTGGGGCTTGGGGTTTGGGTATAGGGTTCAGGGATGTTTGGGGTATGGAGATTAGGGTTGAGGGTTTAGGGTATACGTTGAAAAGGGCATAGGGTTAAGGGTATAGGGATTTCATTATGTATCGGTCTACACACCCCCAAACTAACATGGAATTCAGAATGGCCTACATCCCAGAGGATACATAGTATAAGTTTTTTGCGGGATTTGGGGTATGAGTACCCAATACTAGCATGAAAGCCGCAAAAAGGGTGCGGTAAAGAGTTCTGTCAGTCGGAAAGGGGCCTCTCTCGGGGTTCATGTTAATTTGTGACAGGCTGGGTGCTTCCTGATTTTGTGTATAGTCCTTAGAAGCCCTTCTAGTAGTCACCCAAAAGTTAAGATCTACATTTTGGAGCCTCATTCGTAGCTCCTTTGGGCCTTCATTTGCTCCTGATTTCTCTCCAAAGATTCTAGAGCTGCCAACACCGCTTGGGTCAGGGGCCAAGGTAATTCGAATAGGGCTTGGGCATATGTTCTACCACTGATGTAAACAGTTATAGGGGAATTACATTAGTAACTATCCAGGCTGCTACAGGATCACCACCCTTGAAACCCTTTTTCGAAAAACACCTCGTGGCAAAACCGATCTTGATTCATGCAGCCAATGCCCAGTTTCTGGCAGCATCTGGCAGGTGCTGACGGATGGCGTCTCCTACCAATTCGGTCAATTTGGCCGCGGAGATCTGGGGATCAAAGGCCGTGATCTGGTCTGACTCGTTGTCACCTCCTCTCCAGTTTGGTGTCCTTGCTAGCTGCAATCCTACGAAGGTTTCAATCAGATGGTTTTGGGATATTTCATGATGTGAGGTAAGGTGGATGTTTTTTTTTTCAAGGTGGGCTGTCCATGATTCTTCGAAGCTGAAGGGTTGTTGGCGGTGCAGCTTTTTCGGCTTTAGCCCTTGAGCTTCGGCTGTGGTCAAATGCTCACCTCATGGCCTCGTGTTCGGCTGCAGAACTCACAGCATACATTCGCTTGAGAAAGAGGTGCTTGCTTACACTGGCCCAGCTGACTAAGCTGGCAAAGCATGAAAGTGCTGCCATCTTCGAGGAGGCAGCGCCTGATCAGTTTGTCTTGTTTTTGGTTGCTTTGCGCCTCAGCTTGGCCAGCTTCCGCTCCACCGTTTTGGTGGCAGAGACTGGGCTCTTCCGAGCATGTGTTCCTTTCTGATGTTTTCACGTATGCTTGTTGGTAGGCATGAAGCTCTCACTTATGTTTGCGTGTCAAAACGAGGGCTCACCCCATGTTCCCTTCCTGCACCGTATGGGCGCTTCTCACGGGCATGCAACTTCTTCCCCAGTATCCATCTAAAGTGACAACTCAATATAAAGCCGCACCAGTTTCTGCTATTTTCTGCTGGTTTCAGCCTAACATGAACCCCAGAATAGCCTTGTAGCCCTGAAGATCGCTGGGTTCTCTGAGAGCCTTTAATTTGAGAAATTCGCGTATCTTGGGTACCAGGAAGGGGCGACCTCGGAAAGTGTTGGGAAGCAGGGCTGAGGCGGAGCTTCTTTCCCAGCTGGCCGTGCTATTGATGCCTGACGAACCTTGGTGGGAATTCTGCAAATTGGAGGGGTCGCTTCTCGTGTGTCCTCGTAAGCTCCTTTGCAGTGGGCATCCTTCTTGGCGTGACCCACTTGTTTTAACAGCTATGTGTTGGGCTCTTGTACGGGGGCGTTGCAGAGGAGGTAGATGTACTCGTTTGACGGTTTCGCGTATGAAGATCCTATTTTCACACTGTGCTGATGACGCTTGCGACACATGTTCCTTTCCAAGCTGCCTGTTGGTAGGAGAGCGCGCGAATTGTGCAGCATCTCGAATGTGGTGGAACATATCATTTCGCATATCCTGAGAGTAGAGCCGCGCCAGCCGAGGAACCTATTGGCGAGGCCTTCCGCGATTTCCCTTGCACGCAATGCAGCGATTGGGGCGCAAATTGGTTGAGCCCAGATTTGGCAGCCTATGGTGTGCTAAGAGCACCCACGGCTGCATTGTTCATCGAGTACGACGGGTACTACCGCCACATGGAGCCGTCAGGTCTTGCAAGAGATATGCGCAAGACGAACGCCTTACGACGTTTCGGTCCAGCAGGATCCTTGGTAATTCGAATTGCCCATGGGAATCGAGAGTGGAGGGACAAGTCTGTGCAAATAGAAGTTGACACATGGTACCCCGAGCACTCTCCTTCCTTGTTTAAAACGGTAGAGCAAGTGGTGGCTTTTCTCTTGCGACGTTGCCGTGGGAAGCTGAGCGCAGCTTTGGTTTCACGCCTGGAGTTACTTGAGGGGCAAGGAATTGATGCAAAGGGTTGCATCTTCGCGAAACAGGCAGAAGTGATTGGAACTTCAAACAAACTGCCACAAGTTGAGAAATATCTATTGGGAAGCTTGTGTATGACGAGGCATGACGTTGCCAAAGTGGTCGCTTCTTTTCCGCCAGTGCTTGGCTACAGCGTTGAGGCAAATCTGAAGCCCACTGTGGAGTGGATCAAGGGTTTGGGCTTGAGCCAGTCACAGGTCGCCAAGGTGATCGCGACGTCCCCTCCAGTGCTTGGCCTAAGCATTGAGGCAAATCTGAAGCCCACTGTGGAGTGGATCAAGGGTTTGGGCTTGAGCCAGTCACAGGTCGCCAAGGTGGTCGCTTCTTGTCCGCAAGTGCTTGGCTACAGCATTGAGGCAAATCTGAAGCCCACTGTGGAGTGGATCAAGGGTTTGGGCTTGAGCCAGTCACAGGTCGCCAAGGTGGTCGCTTCTTTTCCGCAAGTGCTTGGCTACAGCATTGTAACAAATCTGAAGCCCACTGTGGAGTGGATCAGGGGTTTGGGCTTGAGCCAGTCACAGGTTGCCAAGGTGGTCGCTTCTTTTCCGCAAGTGCTTGGCCTAAGCATTACAACAAATTTGGCCGTCAAATGCAATCTTGTTCGGCAGTATTTCGTCGGGAAGAGCGTAGCAGATTTGTTTGCACAAGCACCTCGTCTTTGGAGCTATAGGGTTGGTCGGCTTCAACATCGCCTTGAAGTTTTGGAGTCTCGAGGTGAGCTTGCCAAGCTTCCAGGTGCCATGACACTAAATCAGGATGCCTTCGTCCGCAGATTAGAAAATTCACCCTGCACACCTCATGGCCAAAGCGTTCAGGGAACAGGACAACAGCACATGCGGAATCCAGGGTTTGGTCAGTACTTGAGATTGCTGACATTGGCTTGTGCTGCGCAACCTGCAACGATCTGACCAACACAGTAGTCTGCTGCTCGGCAGCCGTTGCTGAAGCACTCCCCATCTCTTCCTGCTTTGATGGTGCCCAACCATCCAAATTCTTAGTAACTCAGGAAGACTCTTGCCAGCTGCAGGTACTCCTCACATCCCCACCCTTTGAAGGAACTGATTCTTGATACGGGCGGGTCTTCACGAAAGCTTTGCAAGGAAGCGCCACGAGATCCGCAACGCGATGCCATGCAGGAAGGATGTTGTATTTCGACAGATATGTTGTCCGAGAGCTTGGGTTTCTTTTATGGCAAGCCCTTAGACGGCTTGGGGGGGCTTGGTAGTTTTCTGGAAGTCCAGCAACTGCTCATAGTCAAACCTTCAACCCAAAACGTAAATCCTTTCTAAACTCCGATTCCTAAACCCCAAGGCCTAAAACCCCTTTGTTTAGAGGCATGACGATGTTCTTCAAGTCCCACAAGTGCTCGTGGCTCTGCAAACTGCTTGGCCTCAAGGACCAGAAGCTTTGGATACTCAGAGTTCCTGACTAAGGTTTAGGATGTACAGGTTTCGGGCCTGTAGGAGTTTATGGGATCCATGGCGCTGCCCGTCTGTAGAGTTTCCTTGGGTATACAGTCCCAACATTCAAATTCTGGGGCGATCTTGCTGGGTCCCCTTGTAGCGATGTTGCAACAACGATCTCATGTCCTAGTAAGCGGCACAGACATTCAGAGACTTAGCAGTACTTCCAAGGGAGCACGGGGACTGATGCAGGGGTTGCACGTGTGCTATGTGATTAGAAAGCGCCGGTCAACGTTTGCCCTACGCGCAGCACTGCGAAGTTTCAATCGCAAGCAGACAATTTGGTATTCCTGCAGCTAAACCGTGTAGGGCTGTTAGATTCCCTCTTGGACCCCCACGTAGGCCTGGGTAAATAGGCTTCGCAAGACGACTACAGCAGCTACGGGTGCATGATGTCAATGGTAGGTGCTGCAGGGTGCTCCCTGCTTGCTATCTTCAATTTCTTAGTATAGGCTTTTAGTAGGGCCCTCATTTCAGGGCTCCTGGCATGTAATGTTTACACACAACAAGTATTTCTTAAAGCCTAATGGCCCCTAGTGGGGCCCATGGCTAGATAGGTACCTTGGAAAGCATGCCCCAGATCATCGCAGTCCCAGCACACCATTGATGCAGAAAACATGTGGTGGGTGGCTTCCAAATAACTGGGGGTCCAGTCTTGGAGCTGACGAAAACAAGAATTATATAGCGTGGGGCATCTAGGTTGGGGACCCCCCCGAAGCCCTATCAGGGCTCAAATGCAATTTCGTGCTCTAGTAGCACAGCTAGCCCTACATCCAAACCTTAAAGATTTAAAAACTCGAATATGGGGGGGGGGGGTTCTCTAATTGTGGATCGTTTTTGGCGCAGTTGAAGAATAGGGGTGCCATTAGATGAAGGGTATAGAAGGGGGACCGATTCAAGAGTTCTTACAGGACATTACTCACATCAAGACGCCGAACGCGAAGCTTTACTTCCCAGGCAGGGTGGGATTATGGCTTGTGGGTTGGAGCTTACTCTGCGCTCAAAGCGTACTTATAACCTACCAAGTATATATCTGCAGGTTGAATCCAGTTCTAGCGCAAGTCCTTGCAGCCATAATTGTTTTAACCATTGCCCATGAGCATTGAAGTAGAGTTTGGAGTTGAGAACCAGGGCCCTTGTGAACTACGGCATTTTGGCTTCAGCTTTTCTGGCCCCGGGCTTTGAAGTTTCGAGCGCATTTGTTGAGTATTTACGCATGTTGCTTCGGGGTCAGAGGATGCTTGGAGATTTCGCAAAAGCACAGGTCCAATTTCCAGAGATACCTGCGTGAGTGCTAAACTTGAGGGTGCAGCTATCTCATCACATACTTTGAGTCCTTATCGCCCTCAGATGGTTATGGCAAAATGTATCTCACAAAATCCCAGAACGCTATGCTGATCTCGAACGAGTGACTGAACTGCTGCCACGAAAAAAACGCCGAGCATTCAAGCTGCCGTTCACATCACATCAGAGTCAATCCTAGACAGTCCACACTTTGGAGGAAGCCGGCTGCAATTCGAACTTCAGGAGAGCACACAGATCTCCATCATGTTATATATTTGCAAGTGCACAGGTCAATTCAAGCAAGGATCATGGTTGACAGCGTTGCGCAGGAGGACATTTAATGGTAAGTAGTGCGCTTTCTCGGCTAAGCCTGAGCTTCCCTCAGCGTTTTGGCAGAAACCAGTTCGATGTCCAACACTTCGGGGCCTCAAAGGTGTATACCAGCATCAATCCTAAACATCGGAGGCCCTCCTACACAACGACAATCATGGGACCCTTCTGCCCAAGGATCCGCAAAGAGGGATACCGAAAACGTGCATAATTTTCAGAATTCCCCACTTCAAGACTTCCAACAAGCTCTAGCCATAAAACCTTAAACTCAAAGTTCTGAAGTCTTAAGCCTCGACTGGATATCCCTGTTTGGTGCTCGCTGTCTTCAGGCAGTACCAACCTGCTGGCCGGGTTGCTTGGGAAGCAGGCGCCAACACAGTTTCAGATCTAGAGCTCGCCAGGGCGGTTTTGGGTTCAGGTTTTAGGTGTCCTTCCTTGTGTCTCAAGACGTTGGCAGTCTGAGTCCAGGGAGGGCTTGACAATGCTAGTGCGCGCCCCACCTCGGCTTTGGAGGGGGTGGAGGGGCTCATGACCCCCTCAGGAAGCTGACTGCCACGGTCTGCATGGGCAGTCTGGACCATACACCTTGAGTGCCAGGCCGATCTGAAGCTTCAACATGACAAGCAAATCCTGACTCAAACCCCCACAGCCCAAAATCCCAATCCCATGGGGTCCTGAACGGGGAGGGTGAAATAGGTACAGTACCCCAAAATCCCATAGGGTCCGAAGCTGGGAGGGTGAAATAGGTCTCTCTTTAGCAGGGAGTAAGGGTATATATATATATATACATACGTCTATCATAATGATAATATCGGGACCCTAAACTCTAAGCCCTAAACCCCGAACCCTAACCACTAAACCCAAAGATGAAACCCTAAACCCTTAAATTACATTCCCTGAGACTGGCAGGGCTGCTTCGTGAAGGAGGCCAAGCTTCAGTCCGGAGCAACGCGCATCACGCTGCCCAGGGAGGCAGGGCTCGTAGGCACCGCCATCTTTTTTTTTGGGGGGAGGGGGGTGCTTAGGGGAGCAATCCTCCTGATGGTCCCTATTATACATAGCTTATGGTACAGGGGCTAGATCCCAAATATGGTCCCTGTACAGAATGACGCGTTGCACTACCTACATATTCACTCCCGCTACCCCTTAGGCATTAGTAAGTTTTTTTTGGAGTTACCTTTACTTGTGGGGTCCGTACGGTGTTGGGGGTTCATAGAGTCAAAGACAGGTCATTCGCTTGTTTTCTGAAACGGAAGCATTCGTGGAAACCAGGTTCAGCGAGGATTGGGCAAGTTGTTGTACGCATACTTGTTCCTTAAGTTGTTTTTTTGGGGGGGCAGTTATTTTTCCTGGTCTACTATCTGCATTGCCACTGGGTGTTTGCGGTAATGGCGTGAAATCAACCTCCCAGCGCGGCATGGAATGTAGAAGGGGGCCTATGGATCATGCCATGACCGAATCGATTTGATCGACTTCGATTCGATTCCTAGCGATCTACCGCGGTCCGCTGATTTTCCACCTCCCGCCTCCCCACTCCCCCCTCTACCACCTCCCCCCTTTCCCACCTCCCACCTTCCCTCCAGGATGGATGTCAATTCTTGATTTGGCTTGCGATTGCTAGCTGCGTAAAGCCCTAGAAGGTTTAAGAACTAGATTTTTTCGGGCTTGATTCTTGATGTTTGAGAGTATTGCATCTTCTCCCTGTAAATGTGATATATGGTACGGTGCGTGGTACATGAAAAGCTACAGCTGCTCAGCATTCCCAGAACACTTAAGCCAGCTTTACATACGCCATTTGTGAGTTGTTGCCTTGTTCTATGTCCTTTGAGCCATGAGTCATGGGGCTGGCATTATGATGCATAGTCAGTTATTCGGCCATTGGCCGCATTGTCTCGCAGGCCTACGCTGAGTGGCTTGTGTGCTCGATTTTCACTACGAACCGAGACCAGGCGCAAAATCCGGGAGCCACTGCGGGGGAGTCCTTGTTTGTCTCATGATCTTGTCCCCCCTGAAGTAGATAGAATATGGCTTTGGGTATAATATAATAAGATCCCAATATATCTCATATTCTATCCACTTAAGGGGACTATACTCATAGGATCCTGGAGAGGTTCAGAACTTAGCTCCTTCTTCTTGTCAGCAAGGATTGGGATGTGCAGAGGTCGTCCTTCTTTTGGAGCAGAGCTGGTGTAGTCCCAACACTCCGACAGGCTAAGCCATGCCCAGCGGGAGGTACGTAAGTGTAGGGGCATGGTAGGGTTACAGTTTATTATAGTACAGTATAGCATATTATGGTACATATTAGGGTTATATCCCCACAGGTTCAGCGTCCTGAGCTACAACATGCCCTTGACAGAAAGCAGTTTACTTTCATTTGCACCAGAAACTCAAACCCACAGCCCCTAGACTTCATGACACCGACACTTGACAAGGGCCTTTCTACCTTATATTTCGCGGGTAAAGGCCATTCTACTGGGTATTTGGGCTGGACATTTAGGTGAACCTCAACCTGGTGCCCGCAGGCTTTAAAGGCAAGACACCTGATGTATGCGAGATTGGAGATGTTGTTGGAGCAGCTGCTGGGCTGCAAGGGCCGCACGCTGACCGGGGTCGAGCGAAGACTATGACACTTGTTTCGCAGGCTACATTTCGAGGAACATCTTTAAGGGTTCTTCTGGTATAGATAGAGAGTTTACGCGTCTGCAAAATTTGGCGCATCATCTGCACAGTATTGACCCACCAACGTCTAAGGTAGGTTGACATTGGAGACGCTTCACATTAGTGTAGCAGTGGGGATCTGGGCTGGGGGCATGCTGCACTTTCGCGATTGCAGGTCCGAGGTTTACCATTTTGTGATATGGAAGGGTGCGGCGAACGCCTTGGAATTAGAGCAGGTACAGGCGGTGCCATATGCAGCTGCGAGGCAATCCTTGCATGAAAGTTTCCCAAAATCGCGACCGCATTTTTGGTGTGGCCATAGGAGATATGATACTAAGCCTCAGTTTTTGCTGACGGGCACCAAGGTTTTCCTGAAGTAAGAGCTGTTCAGAATGGGTTGGCTCCATTCAGCCAAGTGTGTCTCTTTCACTGGAAGTCTGCGGGGCCTTCGCTTTTTGCTTGACAAAGCGCCAGCTTGCACCTCTTCTCCTGAGAACTATTGGAAACACCATTTTTCTGGCCCAAGGTTAGTTCCGTTTTAGGCGCTTGCTAGTGACCCTGGGAAACAGACTTTCTTGTCAGTTCTGGGCCCGTTGTTAATGCCCGCCTCAGGTACAGCTTGCAAGTCACAGTGCCCAAAGACTCGCCGGCCTACCACTGGTCCCATGTCGCCACAGACTGTTCCCTCAAAGTTGTGGTTTGTGGCTTGTCAAAGAAAAGGTCGTCTCAGGGACCCTACTGATGTTTTGGGAGACAGGAATGCCTTATGTGCTTAGTGTTTTTTTCAGACGAGCCCGCAAACTTACTGATTTCGCGGAGCACGGGGTTCCCTACTTGAACACAGCTTCAAGTCGGGTGAGATGGGATAGCTACAGTTGGAGCCTAATTAGGGGAGGTATTTCATGCGGCTTCAAGAACCTTTTGCCCGTGCGGGATGGAATGGCCAGATCTCCTGATTTTGCACCTTTTGATATTAGGGCTTGCCGCTGCAAAAGTTTCTGTAGGATGTTGATCTCAATATGTCTGTATATATCTTGATGGCGGAAAGAACAGCAAACAAGCACGCACATGCATGATGCCGAAGAACAGTCAAGGGCATCTATCTTGCATCAACTAGTAGCTGAAGCAGGACAAGAGTTCATCTTCTCAACTTACGAAGCATCACCCTCACCAGGCCCCGAAGCCACGATCAGATCACCTTAAACCGGGAGAAATCTTCTCTCCAGAGTCTCACCCCTCCAAATTGAAATTATGTCCTTCAAGACCATACCATGACACGATAGGGCGAAGCTTTCCTTGTCAGCGGGCTGGGTGGGCTCATTTGGGAGAGGTGATCAATCTGGCGGAGTCAGTGGTTTCATGCCTGAGGTGCCAAAATACGACCTCAGCTTACATGACAAAGTCGGGATCCACCCGAGAAGCAGGAGTGGTCTGGGCAGTTTCCGTAGTATGTGCTTTTAGCCACCCAATTCTTCTACTGACCTTCGCCTCCCAAAGTAGCAGACCGGTCGCGCACCCTCAGCAGTGAGCACGTTAGATCTCAGGTGTCCCTTTTAGGGTGCTTCCGCACCTGCCTTCTGGCTGTGGAACACTTTTCCGGTCTTATCTTTTCAGCGAAGCCCCAGTACTCGCCTGCGCACACATAGCCGGAGCTCTCTATCTTATCCTGTGAGCAAAGCTCAGTGTTCGCAAAAAAGGATATTTTGATTGTTTGTCCCTTAGCTCCCAGCGCCTTCAAACTTGAAAGCTGCCATGCTGGATGTTTATGTACATCCAAGGACCCCGACCTACTGGCAGGCCATCTCCTTGTCAGGGAAGACATTTGAGAAGAAGCCTGTTCGATATTGGAGTTTGTTGAATTCAGCCCGGGTTCTTCATGGGAGCCATCTTAGGAGAGATGTTGAACATCTGCGTGGGACCCCCATAGCTGTCCTACAATCCCTTCGTATCCCTGTGACCAGGTACCTCTGTTCCGAGAAGCATCACCTAGTCTCATTCGGTAGTATTTTCCTGGGCTGATGTTGAGGAGATCAAACTAGGCTAGCACTGTTGGGCAACCATATCTGATTTTTTTTGCATATTCATAAGTGAAGTACCTTAACGGCAGCCCAGTTTGGGGTTCAGGGTTGGTGTCTTCCGGCATACTGGAAGAGGGTTCAGGATGCTTTAAAACCCAGACAATCCCAGACACATTATGCGGCTTTACGGCTTTAGGGTCCGGGGCATTTGAAAATAGCTGAGCCCCTTTTCCCATTAGAGCCAGGATATGAACCTTATGAGGACTTCTAGAGCCAGAAAGATATTTTGAAGAGACTAGTGGTTGCTCCGCCACGGCCATATAAGCAACTGGACTTTCACTGCATTAAAGGTCTCTTTAAACGATGAGCTAACTTTACATAAGTTTTCTTCCTCAGGCTCAGTAATGGTCTTGGAAATCAGGGGGGTGAGTTTTGGGGAGGGCTTTCATCCCATTTTCTGGTGCTCTTAGGGTTTGCTTTGTTCTATAGTCCCCCTTAAGTAGATAGAATATGGGGTAAATGGGGCTCTTATTATAATATACCCAAAGCCATATTCTATTTACTTAAGGGGGACTATAGCCCTAAACCCCTGGACGAGACCAAGCGACTGGAGTGGATGCAGAAGAGCGGTGGAGCTCAAATCTCACTCTCCCATGGAGGCGGGATGAGCTGGGTAGGCCCCTGGGATATTTAATGTTTTCCCTAATGGCTTTCATAAGGGACCCTTCAGACTAATATTTTTCAAAGGGGTTTAGGGGCCAACCCAGTGAGGCTGTAGGGATGAGAGTATTAATAACTGGTCTTTCTATTGGCGCCAGGGGGGGGGGTGCAAGTTGTCACTGGGTAGATGGTGGAAGGGTTGTCTAGGGCCCATGGGGCTTGTTGAGTTCTGGGGTGGGGGATCATTGGGGATAAGAGATTCGGGATTTGCGGTCTTCGAGGTTTGACAGTCAGGATTGATCCAAGGTCTTGGACTTGTTGCTGACAAGCGTTATCAAATTATCTTTAGCCTTGTATCTGCGGATACCCTCCAATCAGGATTCGCCACTTCTGGTCTGCAGTGGATATAGCACAGCATGAAACAGCTTCATTAATCGTGGTGGCCTTACAAGGGCCGTTTGACAAGATGAGCAGCTTAAAGGATAGGCGGTAGAGGAAAGATGAGCAAAGTTAATTAATACGGAACAAATTTCGGAAATCGGCCGCAACAACTTCCGAAAAGAGGTTCCCACTGTGCGCGCAGAAGCTTTCGCGGAAGCCCTTTGCTTGCGGAAGCTCTTGCGGAAGCTCTTTTTTTAATAGCTCGGGCTTTGGACGGCCAACGCCAAAGACTAGAAAAATCCCTTTCGCGGAAGCGTCGCGGAAGCACCTCAGACGAAAACGTCCGCGGAAGAGCC